AAAATCAGGTGGCTAATATAAATAAAAAATTATGCACATCTCTTGTTGAATTCAAAAAATATGATATTTTCAAACCATATTTGCTGGCAAATTATTGAAAAAATTTAGAAGCCTTTCAACTTGAAAAATTGCAAAACACTTAGGTGTTAGCAGGTCTTCTATAAGTCGGGGTCTTGTGCATTTTCAAAGCTATGGTTGTATTGAAAAACTTCCATCGCTTTCAGGAAAACCACGTTCTTTAAGCATGAATGATATAAATTATCTTCAAGTTTTAATAAAAGAAAATCTGACTGGTAAATCCAAGATGGAACTTTGGTTGGAACATAACATTAGTCTTACAACAATTTGGAGGGCTATACACCGACTTGGATATATGCACAAAAAGGTAATATTTCATATATTTATACATGATTTTATTTTATAAACTTTTAGCAATTTTATAAAAGGCTCTTTTGTATTAATAGCTCCTGATTCATGCTCTTTCATGTTAATAATATCCAATTCAGGATCTTTTTCACTATTAATATCTGAATCAGCTGTGTTCACTTCAGACAAGTCAGATAACTAGTTTATCCATCAGGTATAACGTATACACTGACGGAACCATATTATTGTCCAAATAATAGCAAAATAATTAAGCTGTTTTTGTGAATCTTTGCAGGCTAATGCTAAACGATATGCAATATAGTAATTGTAAATGATATATAGGCATATCTTTGATAATTGTTGAGTGACACCATTTTTGTTTCCTATTATTACAGATGCACTATCTGAGGCAAAGACTACTAATTTATCTATAATGTCTATTAAAAATATTTATTTAATATTTATTTAATAAAAAAATATAAAATTTTACTAAATATTATTATTTACTATAATTTTGAAATAGTGAAATTAATTTAGCAGTTATTGTTGCTACATCACTTTGGTTAAGTGCAAGTAATTGCAAAAAATGTGTCTTGATATTACTCGAGCTATTTGGATATATTACATAAATAACTAAATACTTGTTCATAGAAATATCTGTGCTCTTATCAATCATAATTCCAAAAGATACTGCTTCACTAATTTCTTTCCATATATCAGCTTTAATTATATTAAATATAGCAAAAGCAAACTCACGACTAGATACTTCATTTTCGTAAGTAATTGAACCTTCCATAATAAATGGAGACTCCAATTCACAGAACATTTGAATGAAATAAGAAAATTTGGCCAATGGTATATCTTGCCTTATAAGAGTATATATGATTTTTATAACTCCAACTATGTGATTTTTGTTTTTTTGTATAACTTGTACTGATTCTTTATTTCTTGCTTTTTTAGCTGTATCAAGTTTTATTGCATCTATATGTTGATTCAAAGATGCATGTTCTTTAACAGAACTTTTTCACCCAAAATTTACAGATCTTACGTATAATAATAATAATATTTAAATTATTAAATACTATATAAATAATAATAAATACTTATGTTTTGTTTTTCATAATGTTTGCAATATTTACAAAACATTCATTGAGAAACTTTATCATATTGAAGCTATCAAAATTCATTGAGCCAAGAGCTTTGAAAACTAGATTTGGATTTCATTGCAAATTGTAATTTTTTCTTATTATTAGATAACACTGGCTCATTTATTCATTTTGACAACTTTGATCGCTTTCATAACTACTTTCGTTTGAATCCATTAATTCAAAAAACTTTATTTAGATTATAAAAATATATATACATTTTGATATACATCAATTTATTAATTACATAATATGTACGCAATATTTTACATTTTATATAATAGTTAATAGTCTATTTTATTAATTTACGAAATAACAGAAAATCTCCGATTGTTAAGAAATTTTATCAGAATTTTTTTCAGTTAATTCAAACTTCTGGTATTTTACAATAGGTTTTTGTGCACTGCTACCAACTGCTACCAACTCCTATAGGGAGATCCCCAAAATTCCGGGTCAGACGCTTCGGAACTCTTGCTGGAAGGGCCGGAGTTGATCAATTTTGGCCCAAGATCACTAAGAATTTGAGTAATGAAACAATAGTCGTTCATTAAGTGAAAAGTGCCCAGCTGATAATTTTACTATAGCCTATAGCTCCCGCTAA